TTGGATTTTATTTCAATTTGATTTTATTGAAGTTGACAGGTGATAGAACACATGTTGATGTTTTTTTGAACTAAGAGACCTGATTTGAGGGCATTGACCTATTTTTTGATATTCATATACCAAATAAGTCAACTCTTATGAAACCTTCAAAAATATACAGTGAAAGTTTGAGTAATTACCATAGAGTTCAAATGGGAATTGTGTTGACAGTTAAAAACGAGGACAGTCTAAATAACATGTTGTGTTTTTATTGAATTGCAAGGGAAATTGAAGTAGGATTTACATTTTGATAAGTGATACACATAACTCAGTTGAGCTTGAGCCCTTTTACCAATCTAAACTTATACCATCACCAAAAAGTTTTACTTTAATTTGTTTAAAAAAAAATGCATAAATGTATTATCTTGTCTTAAAACACCAACAATGACTTAACAAAACAAATGGTGACAAAATAAACTTTAAACATAGAAAATATCAGCTTAGTTGTCGCCAATTGTTTCACAATACAAGTATGAGTCTTATTTCATTTCATTCTTTATCATGTTACATGAAAGCCTTGCTTTGTTACAGTCCTACACTTCAACCATAAAAAATGTAGCTTTTTGTATATTTAATCCTATTGTATCAAATGACAATAAATGTTTTAAATTACTTGGATTATCATCTGGATTATCATGGATTATCAACATAATCATATCAGACAAAACCATCTTGAGTCTGACTTTGACAAAATGAAATTTTTTGCAGGTTTGTCTTCAATTTGATAAGAAGTTTTGGAAGAGTAAAACTGATGGAGATGATTTTTTTGGCCATGTACCTGTCAGCGAGAGCCAGCGTGGACTTTTTAATGTATTCTATGACCTTTCTACCTCAGTAAGTATTAATGCCACCTATTTCTACCTCAGTAAGTATTAATGCCACCCATTTCTACCTCAGTAAGTATTAATGCCACCTATTTCTACCTCAGTAAGTATTAAGCCGTGCCCACTTCTACCTCAGTAACTTTTAAGCCCTGCCCACTTATACCTCAGTAAGTTTTAAGCCCTGCCCACTTATACCTCAGTAAGTATTAATGCCACCTATTTCTACCTCAGTAAGTATTAATGCCACCTGTTTCTACCTCAGTAAGTATTAAACCCCACCTATTTCTACCTCAGTAAGTATTAAACCCCACCTATTTCTACGTCAGTA